ATGTAAACAAGTAACTCCGCGGCAGGGGAGTCTGGAAAAAGAAGCCAGTTCTGAAGTATTTACACAATTTAAAATAGAACTTTTATACCCACCAGATAGATATAGATAATACATTGAGCGATTTGGTTAAATTATCTATGAAACTATAGAATCTGACAATGTAAAAATACAAGAAAACGTTCTCTCATTTTTAGAAGGTAGACAGTTAAATCACACTAGAAATAAATCTCTTTTTTAAAAATAATAACAATAATAATAAAGGAAAGGCATAAGAATCCATGCCATCTTTTAAGGTTAAAGTATATTACATAAATAAGGACACAACGGAATGGAACTGGGGAAAAAAATGAAGTGAAATATAAAAAAAAGCTACCAATTAAAAAAAAAACCAGACTAAAAACTTGATTCTTAATCTCAGAGGGATCAATTCTGCTACTTTTACTTATTCTGCAAGTAGAAAATTGCAGAGTTAAGTAGTACTTACTCGGCATGAGGAAGGAAGGCAGAATTGGCCCCTAGTAATTATTAGCAGTGTCCTTTTACTTAAAAAAAAAAAGAAGAAAAAGACAGAATTTAGCTTTTTTTCTTTTAATAAATAACAAAGCAGATGTGCCCCTTTTTAGGTGAAATTCTTACACCTTTCTCAAGAAATGCATCAATTTAATCTTTCTCTCTCTTTCTCACATGCATACACACACTCCCTCCCCAACTCAGTATTTACCGCAGCGTGGCTCTCGGCTTGGCGCCGTGGCCGTGGGCACTGCGGCCAGGCTGCCGCCGCCGCCCCTGACCCCAGGGTGGGTGAGGGAAGAGGAATGAAACCCGAAGGCTGCATTTGGCTCTATATTGCTTGAGATTGTCGGGGATGGACTATGACGCTTAGAACAGAAAGGGTGTCAGGGCTCAGCTACGAACAACGATGTATCTCGGTATTCAGCATACCTCCAAAAAGAAAGAAAAAAAAAACAAAACAGAAAAAAAAAGAAAAAAAGTGCTGGTCTGCAATTGCAACACTCCTTTGCATGGACCAGTGCTGAAATCAGACACTCAAGACTGTAACATGGTGACTGAGCTGCCGCTTTGTTAAATAAGACGTGCAGCCCAGCCAGCTGCGCTGAGTAGGAGTCGGGATAAACCTTTTCTTTGGGGCAGCATCGAACCTAAAACCTGGGATTGTCCTCTGCATTCAGCCCAGACGCTCAGGAACATTTGCTCCTTCCCGCGGAGCGCCAGGGACCCGCTGGATTCCAGCCAGAAACCCGGTACCCCACCCTGAACAATGAGCTTTACTGGGGCAAATCTGTGCAAAAAAAGCAAAGGGGCATTTTATCACGAAACTCTTCACATTCAGCATTTCCCCACAGTACCTGCAGGAAACTACTGGGGGACATTCTATAGTTATATATTTTTAAAAAAATAAATCTCCTCACTTATTGCCTACCGTAATATACCCTTTTGCTCCCAGTTTCTCTTTGAAGTAGTGCCCCTACCCACCCCGCAGCCCCGGCCCTTGCAGGCAGTGGGGGGCAGCTTCCTGGGGCTGCCGTGGGGGCCGGGGTGCAAGGGTTCCCTTTTCGGGGTGCCCAGCTCTGAGCTGCACCAACGCCGGGGCACCCGCCACGATGCCATAGGCTGGACAGGACGTAAAGCTAATCCTCGGAGGGGGGCGATCCCCGCTCCCCGGCCCCAGCAGCTCCTGCAAAGCGCTGGGTGCCTCTGGTTTCCCCAGCGGCACAGGCTGCCTCTCCCTGCGCAGTGCCCGGGCATTGCTTTGCTCCTGCCCCATTTCCCCGTTAGTATCCGAAACAGTCACTGTCTGCTAAGGGAGTGAGCTCTCACCTGCCCCTTGTGCCCGAGCCCTCCTTCCTGCCCCTTTGCAGACTCGAGCACTGCAAGCTAAAGACGCCTTTATATAAAAGAAAGAAAAAATCAAGTGGAAACTTACTTTTCACCACAAACCCTGCGTGAGGGATTCTAAACCCAGCAGACCTGTGCTTCTTCAGCTGAACACCCTCCACTCTCACTCAGTCCTAAAAGTCAGGGGAAGCCCCTGGGGCAGGCAGCACATGCCCCCCAGGGCAGGCAGCGCACAGCCCTGGGGCAGGCAGCACGTGCCCCCTGCTTTTCCCTGCTGCAGCGATGGGGGGGGGGGGGCGGGGGAGGCCCCCCCCCCAGCCACAGTTGTGCCTCTGCGCCTTGCACACCTCTGTGCATAGTGCATAAGTCCTGGAGACATTTCTTGGGGGAGGAGGGAAAACAAACCATCCCAATTTAACAGAAAAAAAAAAAAGTAAAAACCCCAACCCCACTTACAGGCTTCAGGCACCACGAAGACCACTTATTGCATCTCTTCCTACCCTACAGGTGCAGTACTGATCGGCTCTGTGCAGGACGAGCCCTCCCCTTCCTGAGCACCGGCCCCAATATCCAGAAGCCAGGCACAGGCAGGGGCTGCGGGCCGACCCGGGGCACCCAGCCGCAGGAAAACAATATGAAATTTTATACCTGGGTACACCGAAACCAATGCTTGGGAAGCGACTGAGTGATCCCCCAGGAGAGGGCTCCCCCCGGCTCTGGAGCCCCCCCAGCTCTGCACTAACCCTTCCCCTCCGCCACGCTTGATGCATCCCCAGCAGGGCCCGGCCATGGGGGCTCGGTGCCCCCGGCTGAGCGGGAGATGGAAGAATTCCACTTACGTTGCTTTTTTTGTTGTTTTTTTGGATTGATCGTTTTCTGAAAAACATCAGCACAGCACAGGACAGTACTACCCACCCTAAATGTGTCGCTATATACATTCTACATAAGCTCTATAGCAATCACATGTAAACATCATCGTTGTGAGGAAATACTAGGACAGAAAAAGGCAAAGCTACAATGAGGCAATTGCCAATAGCAGATGCTCAGTCTCGGCCAGAGCTACTCATGTTTGCTAAGGTGGGATGAGAAGTGGGGGGAGCTTGTGGCAGGAGAGACGCCGAACCTTGCTGCTGAGACTGAAATGGCACGAGGACTGTTCCCTGACAGTGATTGTCACCGGCGGCAGGTTGAGGACCCGCAGTTCAAACCCTGCAGTGGCCTGTGGGCCCTCGTACCGCCGGGCTGGTTGTCGTCAGAACCACGGCTCCCCTGAAAGCGAGGAGAAATACCAGGTAACT